TTTAGGGATGAACGGGTTTAAGAGTTTTTAAGAGTTTTAAGAGTTTTAACCAAATGCTTTATAATATAGTATAGATATAGATATCAAGTTCCTTATAATTTTAAAGAAACTAAAACATTGTATCAACCAATATTTTTTTAATACAATATTTATATACGGTAAATGTAATAAAAAAAACTCACACACCCTTCTCACTTTTGATGAGGTTTAAAACCCTTACCTTCTTAAAAGCCAAATACTACAATATCACTAGGCCAGACTCCAATTTTATCATATCAACCAATATTTTTAGCATTAAACATCAATATCTTGGTGTAGTAAGGTTGGTCAAATACCACCAAAGCAAAACTAAACAAATTAAAAAGGTGGGTCTTTTTGATTGTTTTCAACTCATGCCAAATTGTGTTAGGTTATAGAACACAAATTGATATCACAAATCATCATATTCATTGGTATTTTCACACGGGTTTCGTATTTTCTGCTTAAATTATTGAAAAACGTTTGTGTTTTAACTTGGAAAAAAGAATCGTTTTCTAGTTTCTGATAAAACAAGGAGACAAGATGTAAATGTACTTGTACAAACTTCAATAGATATGTTGTTATTTGTGGACCATTTTCCTGGTCCCCCCCCCCCCCTCTTCCAATAAGTTTGCGGTGAAGCAACATCTGTTGAGGGGTACGTGAATGAACGAGCCATGTTCGTGAATAGAATGGTCATGTTTTAATCGCCTTCTTTGTCAGTTCATTAATACGTGGATACGTAAAAATTGAATACTATACATACCATATAAACACATAATGTCTTAGGTCAATCATATGGAAATTTGTAGTCTTTGTTTACGTTTTATAAACTAGGCAAAACAATAACACGAAAATGACATGTAGCAAAGGTCAGAGCAGATTATATGTTACGAAATAAATTTTGTGCCCTCAAATAAGTGAGTGATATATATATATATATATATATATATATATGAAAACCGCTCCCCTATATAGAGGAGTGATCATATGAAAACCGC